GCCATGGTGACCTGGTAATAATAAGTAGAGGGTAGGTAAGGGCCCGCCATGGTGACCTGGTAATAATAAGTAGAGGGTAGGTAAGGGCCCTCCATGGTGACCTGGTAATATGGCATTGTTGTGCTGACAGGTGCTGGTGCAGGGTACCAAGTCACTGGGAATAGGGGTTTAGTACCCACAGAAGCTATACACACAGTGTCTGTGTTCTTTCCTTCAGAACGGACAACATAGGAGGGAAGAAAAAGGGGGCCAAGGAGGGTGGCCCTATTTTCCCCTGTGCCCCCAGCTGGTCACAGTGGCTAGGACTCAGCTTTCTAAAGCTACCATGGGGGATTTGTCCCACGCTGAGTTCCCCCTTTCTCTTCTCCCAGAGGACTCTGGCTTTTCATCTTTCCTGTTTGCCTACTGTTGGTTGCTGTTTTTCAGGCAGCACTGGGTTTGAACTTGGGGCCTCGCCCTTGTCAGGAAGGCACTTTGCTGCTGAGCCATGCCTCCAGCCCTCTTCTGTACTGACTGTTTTTGAAGCAGGGCTCACTTTCTCCCTGAACTACTCTTTTTCTTGGGGGGGGGGGGCGGTCCAGTCCATGGGGCCTGAACTCTGGGCCTGGGCGCTGTCCCTTAGCTCTTCAGCTCAAAGCTAGCACTCTACCACTTGAGCCACAGCACCACTTCTGGCTTTTTTCTTTTTGCTTATGTGGTGCTGAGGAATTGAACCCAGGGCCTCATGCATGCAAGGCAAGCGCTGAGCCACCTTCCCAGCCCAGGGAGCTACTCTTGTAGCTTGGATGACACACATGCCCACCAAGCCAAGCTTTCTCTGCAAGGTAGAATCTCATGTGCTTTTTGCCCTGTGGCCTGAGACCTCCATCTCCAAATCTCAGCCTCTCAGTAGCATGAGCCTCTCCCAGACATCTGTTTGTTTTCAGAAACTAGGGAACAAAGCCTTCCACTGACATAACTGCTAAGGGTGCACCATGGAGAGATAACTCCAGGAATTTCTTTGCCTCTTTTTACAACTAAGTTAGGATAAATTAACTATACAAGAGAAGGAAGACTTAATTATATTTCTATTATCATACATGCAAACTAACCAAACTCACCCTTCCATCTTCCCTATTTGCCCATACTCCTCCCACTGGTTCCTATCTCCCTAACAGTTTTTGCCTCCTTTAAAAATGATTCCTTCATTTAAACCTTCATAACTGTCTCAAAATTCCATTGCTAGCTGGGCACTAGAGGCTGAACTAAGGCTGAGCTAGAGGCTGAGATAAGGCTGAGATCTGCAGGCTGAGCTAAGGCTGAGATCTGGAGGCTGAGATCTGGAGGCTGAGCTAAGGCTGAGATCTGGAGGCTGAGATCTGGAGGCTGAGCTAAGGCTGAGATCTAGAGGCTGAGCTAAGGCTGAGATCTGCAGGCTGAGCTAAGGCTGAGATCTAGAGGCTGAGCTAAGGCTGAGATCTGCAGGCTGAGCTAAGGCTGAGAGCTGGAGGCTGAGATCTGGAGGCTGAGCTAAGGCTGAGATCTAGAGGCTGAACTAAGGCTGAGATCTGCAGGCTGAGCTAAGGCTGAGATCTGGAGGCTGAGATCTGGAGGCTGAGCTAAGGCTGAGATCTGGAGGCTGAGCTAAGGCTGAGATCTGCAGGCTGAGCTAAGGCTGAGATCTGCAGGCTGAGCTAAGGCTGAGATCTGGAGGATGGTGGTTCAAGCCATCCTTCATCACAATGTCCATCCATGATATTTTTTTAATGAAATATTTAAGAAATATTGTTATTATAAAGGTGGTATATCAAGGGGTTACAATTATATGAGTCAGGTAATGAGTACATTTCCTTTCACACACTGTGTTCTGTTGCATCCATAATATTCTTGAGACTAATCTCAACAGAAATGTCTGTATGTGGTGGTATGTACCTATCTCCAAAATAACCAGCAAATGGCTCTGTAGGAGGATGGCCCAATTTGTAGAACATTAGCCAAGTAAGCATGAGACCCTGAGTTCAAACCCTAGTCAGAAAAGTAATTGGCTGGAAATGTGGCTTAGTGGTAGAGTGCTTGCCCTACATGCATAAAGCTCTGAGTTCAATTCCCCAGTACCACACAGAAAAAGGCAGAAATGGCGCTGTGGCTCAAGTGATAAGAGTGCTAGCCTTGAGCAAAAGAAGCTCAGGGATAGTGCCCAGCCCTGAGTTCAAGCCCCAGGACCAGCACAAAAAGAAAAGAAAAAGAAGCTGAGTATTAGATGATTCTTTTCTTGTTCATATGCTGGATCAAACACTGCTGTTATGGAGGAGGCTGATTTGTAGCTGCAGTAGTTTTAGTATCTTCCCAAAAAGATGCTTTGACACCGCCTATAGGCGTTTTCACATGGCACCTCAGAAACATCATTTTCAGAGCTGAGCACTGTGGCTCACGCTTGCAATCCTAGCTTCTGGGAGGCTGGAATTGGGAAGATCAGAGTTAATAGCTTGAGCCAAAAAATGGTAATATCCTTTTTTTTTTTTTTTTTTTTGGTGTCATTCCTGGAGCCTGAACTCTGGGCCTGGACGCTGTCCCTCAGCTCTTCAGCTCAAGGCTAGCACTCTACCACTTGAGCTACAGCACCATTTCCAGCTTATGTAGTGCTGAGGAATCAAGCCATTTTATGGACTGGGAAGGTGACTCAGTGAGTGCTTGCCTTGCATGCCTGAGGCCCTGAGTTCAATTCCTCAGCACCACATAAGCAGAAAAGGCCGGAAGTGATGCTGTGGCTCAAGTGGTAGAGCACTCACCTTGAGCCGAAGAGCTGAGGGACAGCGCCCTGGCCTAGAGTTCAACCCACATGACCAACAAAAAAACTTCTCTGAAGGAATCTGGGACTACAGAAATTATGTGGAGCTGATGCTCACTCCTCTGCCCTCACAGCCCAGGCCTGTCAGCCGGAGGCCCCCACCCTGGGGACCCTATGGAAGTCTGTTCAGATGACGCCATGGAACTCAGCTCCGAACCCACTGCACTGGGCCCCTGTAGAAGAACCTACAGTCAGAGGTCAGTGTGGCTGTCTCCTCAGTCTGTGCTCTAACTCATGTCCACGTTCTTCATGAGGGTGGGAAGCACTGGCTTGAACACCGGCCTCCCTGGCGTTGACAGCTGGTCCTGTGGTTCCTTTCACCTGTGCTTTGGAGCCTGAGGCCTGGGACGCAGGCTTCACTCTGGGGCCACGCCTGCAGGGTGGGAAGGACTTCTGTGCCCACTTCAGTCTCTACCTGGCCACAGTGTCCTAGGGTGGAGTTAAAGTTGTTCTCAAGTGTAACTTTGGGAAAAATGTTAACAAGCAGGAAAAGTTGCCAAAGAACGCAGATTGGCAGGAAGATGGGTGTGTGGGTCCCTGGCGGAAGTCTCGGGCTGTTACGCACGCGTGTGAGGTCTGGGTGACGGTGGTGAAGTGTCAGAGGATGGAAGGCTGGCTTCAGCCGAGCTCCCCCTAGAACGCGGGTCGTGCGCTTGGGGCCCCTGGGAAGGAGGTCCGAGGTGGGAACTGCCCCATAAGCAGACCCCACTTCTTCTGTGTTTCACAAAGGGAAAAGAAATGGACAGCATTCCGAGACACAAAGGAAACATGACAAGGTGCTGTTGTGGGTTGGTTGCTTTGTCCAAGAAAAAACCATATAATGTGTTCCTTGTTCCAGAGTGCCCTCTACCATCTGTTTTGGCCAGGGTGCATCTCGAGGGTTCAAAAGCTCCAAGAAAAAAAATGAACACCCCTAACTCCATAAGAGGAGAGGACCAGTGTCTGAGCGGACAGCGGGGAGACGGGGCCTTGTGCAGGAATCTGCATCCACTGGGATCTTCCTCTGGCTTCCAGTATGGCTCCCTGGCGCCCTTTGCCACCCTTGTCTGTGAAGCAGCATCTGGGACTCTAAGCAGCAGGGAGGGACCTGCCGGCTCCAGAGAAGACTGGGACGCACTGTAATGAATGGGTTGGGGGATGGCCCACCTCGCTTGAGAGGCTCTCCTTCGGGGAGAGTTATAAAGTCCTGGTGTCCAGTAGAGGAGTACAGCTGGCCCAGTGTAGTTGCTTTGACTGAGTCCTGGCCCACCGGCACCAGGAGAGACGCCTTCATGTTCCTCACAGTCTTACCAGCCAGCACATCCCACCGGCCACAGAGCCAGAAGTGTGTGGAAGGCAGCCCACTGAGAGGAGGACAGCAGCAGAAGCCCACAGAAGCCTTCCCTGTGGTGGTGTGATGTGAATGCAGAGCTTCCAGCTGGGCTAGATGGAGAGAAAGATAGCATGTCTAGGAGAAAGCAGCTCAGCCTGGGTAAAGGCAGGGCCTCGGGGTCCGCGGGAGACCTTACCTTGCCGCGGACCAGGTTCTGTTGGGACGACGGAGGATACCTAGGGGAGGAACCTGGAATAGGATGGGGAGATGGCAAACAGACAACTCACACACATTAGGAGTGGATGCTGAGTGCTGAGTGCGATTTATTGCAGAGGATAACAAACTTTTATAGCAAAAAGTCTCCATAAGAAAGGGCAAAAGGTTACACAATCTTGCTGCATGGCTTCATTCTTGGGCGGTCACCAGCTGGTCGCCTGAAAGGGCAAAAGGTTACACAACCTTGCTGCAGGTCTTCATTCTTGAATGGTCAACAGCTGGTCGCCTGATAGGCACTTGTTTCCAGCTTATCTCTAAGAAATATAATGGGTTTTGATGTTTGTCACCAACTAACCATTACCTTATTTCTATAGAGGCCTTAAACCGTCCCATAAGATCTTTTCTGTTCCTTCTTTAATAGTAAACACCAAGGAGACTTAGATCTAGCAAGTCTCTTAGTAAATGAAAGAGTAGTAGGAAGTTCTTTGTCCTAAGTAGTTATCTCAGCAATTGCCATACATTCCTTCTGTTCCAGTTGCCCTACAGCTTCTTGTCAGTCTCTTACAAACAATTCCTTCTGCTGAAGTGACTTTGTGAAACCCCCAATACTTTTATATTTGCTTATGGCTTGTCTACTAGCCTCCATAAGAGGGGTTTCAGGGTAGCACTTAACTCCGGTGAGTTAGTCATATTTTTAAGACACTCATCAGATATTGGAGTTGTCAACACTCTTAAGAAAGAGCTTTGTATAGGGAAACGTTGACAATGAGCAAGTACAAAGAGCAGTAGAAACAGTAAAAGATTAATAGGCACTCTTATATAGAGGAAAAGAAAGGCAGAAGCACATCTTTTCCCAGGGGTTTGCCAGCCTTTTCCCAGGAGTAGGCCTCTTAGAAGCCCTATTCTCCGAGGTAGACTTCGGTGAAGTCCCAAAACTTGGAGATAGGTTTCTGTAAAGCCCCATTCTCCGAGGGTGAAGTCCCAAAACTCAGAGATAGGTCTCTGAAGCCCCTATCATGGTCTGATAGATGGTTTCCCATGCTAAGCAGACTCTACTGGGGTCGGCGTGGCATTACCTCATAACTTACTCTTTCTGGGCTTTGAGTCTGGCCATGGGCAGCTGGGGTTCACCCTTCGCTTCTAGTACAGAGGCAAAGCTGCACTCAGAGCCTTGAGATAGGGCTGGGAAGGGGGCTCAGTGGTAGAGCGCTAGCCTTGCATGCATGAGGCCCTGGGTTTGATTCCTCAGCACCACATAAGCAGAAAAAGCTGGAAGTGGCGCTGTGGTTCAAGTGGTTGAGCGCTGACCTTGAGCTGAAGAGCTGAGGGACAGTGCCCAGGCCCAGAGTTTAGGCCCCAGGACTTACCAAAAAAACAAAGCCTTCAGGTAATCTAAAATACAGCCTCAGATTCCAAGCACAGCCAGTGCGCGTCAAGCTCTGAAAACCAAGTTCTCAAGTGTGAAAAGTGAACTTGTCAGCACCAAGCGTGGAGAGACCCCGTGACTCTGTCTGCGTGGGAAATGTGCACTGACAGGCTGGGCAGGCCTGGTGAGCCAACATGCAGAAATGGGGCTGTCTCCATGTCCCCTCGGAAGGCCTGGTCCTGGCAGGTCCGCCCCTCCGACTTCTGCCTGTCCACCTTCTCTCTCCATGTAGTGCAGTTCTGAGGCAGCTGTCAGCATGAGAAATGGCTCTAGCCCGCGTCCCTGCAGCGCACCCCACCAGACATGCAGAGTGGGCATCATCCCTGGGGACCTCCCGACCCGGAGTCCAGGCCTAGCTTCCCACCCAGAAAGCCTAGACAGCTCCCTTCAGTCATGGCAGCAATGAGGACCTACGAGAGACCCTCTCCTAGACTCCACTGAGGGTGCTCTGTGGCCTTCTGTGGGAGCTGGGGAAGGAGCTTCTGGGAGGAGAATTCCGTGACCACTCGGCATTCCTTCCTGCCCAACAACCTACCGCCGGGATTTGTTGGCAGAAATTCACATCTGCAATTAACTGGCACAATTTTTGGGGTAGGCTGCCGGGACCTGGGCACTGTACCTGAGCTTTTCTCTCTCACTCAAAATTAGCACTTTCATACTTAAGCCACAGCTCCCCACTTCCTGCTTCTTTGGTGCTTAATTGGAGATGAGTCTCACAGGCTTTCCTGCCCGGGCTGGCTTTGAACCGTGATCCTCAGACCTCAGCCTCCTGAGTAGCCAGGATTACAGGTGTGAGCCACCAGCACCTAGCTTTACCTTTAGCTGACTGTGGAAGGATTTTATTTCTCCCTCAATTAGGAAGGACAGCTTCACTGGGTACACCGATCTTGGTTCAAAATTTGGATTGTGTCCTTCTGTGACTTCCTTGTTTCCCAACATGTACCTGCTGTATGTAACTTGCTACTCCTCTTAGGATCTTTGATCTTTGTACTGAGTGTTTTAACTGTACTGTGTCTGAGGGCTGTTTTTTCTGCTGCCCTTGCCTGTTTGGTGTTCTGTCAACCCCCACCTGCATGATCCTCTCTCTGAAGGTGGACAAAGTTCTGTTATTTTAATAGTTTTTCAGGACCTTTAGTTTGTGTCTCCTCTTCCTTGTCTATACTCATGATTCATAAGTTTGATCTTTTGACAAAGTCCAAGAGTTCTTATAAATTCCATTCTTAGCTTAGTGTTTTTTCTATGTCTTAGACTGTTTGATCTTCGTACTCTGCTTTGTCTTCAGCCCCTGATGCCAACTGTTTTCAACTTGTCCTGTTTTATTAGCTGTTTGCCTGTGTGTGTGTGTGTGTGTGTGTGTGTGCGCGCACACACACACACACACACACATCCTAGGGATTTAACTGAGGGCCTAGATACTACCTCTGAGCTTTTTTGCTCAAGGCTAGCACTCACCACTTAAGCCACAGCTCCATTTCCAGCTCTTTGGTGGTTAATGGGAGATGGAGTCTCATGGACTTTCATGCCCAGGCTGGCTTTAAACCTTTGATTGTCAAATCTCAGCCTCCTGAGTAGATAGGATTATATACAGCCTGGCATTTGGCTAGCAAGGCTTTTGAATGACATCTTTATTTGGGCTGTTGAACTCTTCATTTCCAGAGTTTCAACCTGATTCTTGTTTCAAGATGGCCTGTTGAAGCAGCCTGGGCCTCCCTGGCAGGGCCAGAGCTGGGCTTTCATGCACAAGAGTGCAGCGCCCCCTCTAGCGGGTCGGGTCCTCCCTCTAGCGGGTCGGGTCCTGTTTCAGCCCTGGCGGGCGGGCACACTGAAAGGTGCTCTAGGACAGCGTCTGCCAGGCCAGCCCTCCCCAGGAGGCTCTCGGAAGACCCTGACCGCTACCACCACACCTCTTCTTGGACCTGCTGAGGCTCCCAGGCTTCCGGGCGCGTGGCCTTGCTGGCCTGCAGATTATCCAAACCGTTTCCTGTCATAGAATTGTGAATGCTTAACACGTTTATGAGTAAGCAAAGGGCCTAACTCTTTTTCCCCCAGAGCTGAGGATAGAGCTCAGGGCCTTGCACTTGCCAGGTAAGTGCTCCTCACTGAGCTAAATCCCCAACCCCTGCCTAACATCGTTGTGACTTTTTTTCTTGAGTCTTTCAGGCTGTCCCAGTGTTGAGCTATAGAGGGAGACAGAGAGCAGTCTGTCCTCATAAGCAGGGAGCAGCAGACCTCCCTCAGGGTTCTGGTAGACGCTGGTATCCCTGGCAGACATGCTGAGGCTGGCTGGGGGGAGTGGGGAGGATGGGGGTCACCAGCCCATGGGGTTCTCCCAGCCACTACAGGAACCAAAACAAAGCCACCACACCAAGAGTGGTTGATGGACATCACATACAGCCAGGGGCCTATCTGGTTGTTTTCTACTGGGATCTGGAATTCAGAGCTGGCACTTGACGTGTGTGTGTGTGTGTGTGTGTGTGTGTGTGTGTGTGTGTGTGTGCGCGCGTGCGCGCAGGTCGTGGGCTTGACTCAGAGCTGTGCTCTTTTCACTCAAGGTAGTGCTCTTCTGCCCTTGAGCCACAGCTATACTGTGGCTTTTTGGTGGTTAAATGGAGGTATGTGTCTCACAGACTTCCTGCTTGATCTGGTTTCAAGTTGTGACCCTCAGATCTCAGCCTCCTGAGTAGCTGGGGTCACAGGCAGAAGCCATTGGCACCCAGCTGACACTTGACTTTTGAATCTCATTTCTGGAGTTTTTTAAAGGCCAGAGAAGCTAGAATTAGTGTAAAAGGTATTATGGATATTTGATATAGGGTTAGTGAAAGACTTTACCAAGAGGACAGAAGAAAAAAAGCATTGTTAGGCTGCTGGTATAAGAGCCAGTGGGCAGCTGAATAGCAAAAGAGGCAGAGTGGTAGGCATGGTCAGAACGGGCCTTATGGCTTTGGTTAAGCTATTTTTGATTGGCTGTTTACTGTTTTGTGGAAGCTGTTAAATGGTGGCCTCCTCCGCTATGGTCTAAACTGCTCAGCTCGGTTTTCATACCTGCCTTCCATCTGGCTGCTTAAGTCTGTCAGGAATTCAGATCTTGGGACTGGTGGCAGCCTAGCCTCATCCCTGCAGGGACAGGAAGTCCACAGGTACACACGTGTGCACATGTGCAAATGCACACACACAGGCCTTGGTGAGCCAGAGCCAGCCCCAAACTCCAGGAGTCTCACATGCCAAAGAAAGGTGAGAGAGGCAGAGGAAGATGTGTTCTGTAGCCACCATGGAAGACTGCACTTCAGAACATCTTCAGCCCGCTTCAGCTCTCTGGGGGTTGGACATTTGTGGTTAAATAGGGAGAATTTCGTGTGATGAGAGATAAGAGGAGCCAGGCCTGCTGTGCATACAGAGGCCGCCTGAGTTAGAACCCCCACCCTTCCCCAGGGTCCCCGGGAGAGAACTCTGCAGGTCGACGTCTGGCCAGCTGGCACTGGTGACTTGTCCTGGTGAATTGGCAGGCTTCCGGGGCCCCAGGCAGGGTCAGACATAGGGAAACTGAGCTGAGGCTGCTGTGAGCACCACGGGGCTGTGGGGACAGTGCCTCTGATAAATAACCACCAGGTCTGCCCACAGCAGCTGCTCCACCAGCTCCCGACAAGCCCTGCCCTGTTGCTGCTCATCCAGAGCAGGGCCTGTGGACCCTGGGATTCGGGGAGATAGACACCTTACCAGGCTGTAGGTCACTGGGTACCTGCAGAGCCAAGGCTGGCCATCAGGTCCACACCACCCATGTGACGTGGGCCCTGGGGCCTTTGGAGCGGCCTTCAGTGAGGTGCAGAGGAAGGCCGGCACTGAACTGTGAAGACCCCTTTCCCGCGTGGCTCTCCAGAGGGGGGCCTCGTATAACCCTGCAGGACTTCCCAGGACCCCTGCGAGTCAGCTAACGTTACCATGGACAGTTGGGGTGGGCCAGAAGGCTGTCCTGTATCTTCCAGAAAGGTCCAGGCATGGGTCTGCACTGGCTCAGAGGAGCCTGTGGACTGGGTGGAGTGTGGGCTGGGCCAGCCTCCTAGGGGAGGCCTGGTTACTGGGGTTCCGAGGCCTCAGACTGTGGAGTTCAGCCCTTCACAGGCTCAGCTCTGTGGCATGAGGGTCCCAGCCCCGTCCTGGGTGAGTCACACCACTCACAAGAGCATCCCAGGCTGGGCTCCTTCTTCAAGCAGCAGCTCAGAGAGCAGGCCCCAGGACATGCTTATTCCCCACAGCACAGCTGGCTAGTGACTGTCCATCTGAGCCCAAGTGCTGGTGGACACTGCCTGGCCTCACGGACCCACAGCAACCTGGCCTTGCTGGGTAGGTGGCGGGCTTCAAGGAGGGCCCATTCCAGCATGCTGGGCCCAACACCGTCTCCCAAAGTTTCCGAGACGGAAGAGAAAGCTGTGTCACAGAATCTCTGAAATAGGGCTGGGAAGGTGGCTCAGTGGTAGAGCGCTTGCCTTGCATGCATGAGGCCCTGGGTTCAATTCCTCAGCACCACAAAAGCAGAAAAAGCCAGAAGTGGCGCTGTGGCTCAAATGGTAGAGCGCTAGCCTTGAGCTGAAGAGCTGAGGGACAGTGCCCGGGCCCAGAGTTCAGGCCCCACGACCAACCAAAAAAAAAAAAGAATCTCTGAAAGAAAGGCGGGGTTCTTGAGTCAGCCTACCACACTCCCTTCAAAACTGCAGCACCAGGGGTCACAGGTCATGCTTGCAGACGACACCTGGGGGTCAAACGAGGGGTCACACAGGACTGAAGTCCAGAGACCGGGTCAGTGCCACCCTCGGCGTGGTCACAGAAATGAGGCCTGTGCTTGGCCCCCGGAGGCTCCCCCATCACAGACGCGCCCTCTCTAGCCTGGCCCGCCAGGGGAAGCTGCCAGGCTCCACCGCAGCAGGCGCCCCGGAAGCGGTGGCGGGGGTCCAGCCGCAGGGGCTGCTGACGGGCCCGGCTCCTCTGCCCTGGCCCCCGGGCTCCCGGGAGGGTGGAAGGCTAGCGGGCCGGCTCCAGCGGCTGGTGTCAGGGTCTAAGGCTGAGCAAATACACTCATGAAGATGGGAACTTTTCCATCATAGAAGAGAGACTGGGCGGCAGGGCAGGCCTGTGGGGGGAGAGCCTCACTGTGACCCTTGGAGAATTGTGTGTTCTGTCCATGCGCCCACACACAGACAAGGTGTCCTTTCTACGTGCCTGGATGCCACAGGCAGTCCAGCGCTCCGATCTCCCGGCAGAGGCCCCTGCTGGCCAGGACGTGGTGGACGCCGTGGAGCTGGTGCTGGCTCTCATCCACACTGAGATGGAGGGCTCCCCAGGGACTGGAGCCTCCGGTGTGGGCCTCACAGCCTTCGAGGCCCCGTGTCCTCTGCTCCACGCGGGGAAGCCGGCCCTCCTGCCTGACGCTGCTTACAGCCCAGGCTGTCCTGGCTCTTGAGGGCCCACTGTGGTCCCGGTCTGAGCTTGTCTCCCACCAGGCAGGGTAGTTAGGGAGCAGGTGCTGGAGTGCTCAGGCAGGGGTGGGGGAAGCCTGGGGACAGACCACCCAGATGGGGACAGAGCCGGAGTCCGGCAGAGCCAGTGGTGGGCTACCGCAGTCATGGAGTGGGAGCCAAGAACCTGGGAGGGGCCTGGCTCCCGTGGGTCCACCTCGTGTCTGGTCTGAAGGGGAAGCTGGGGGACGGTGGGAGGCAGGACCCACCAGCAGGGCCCGGGGGCAGGGGGGGGGAGGCCACAGCCCTGCAAGTCCCCATGTCCCTCCCCAGGGCAACATCCACTGGATCCTCACTAAGTCATTCATGTCTTCAAGTGACTCGTGTGAGGACGCGAGCCAAGGAGTGGGACACTTCTGTCCAACAGGAAGGCCTGGGACCAGCACCGGGACCAGGGGGACGGACGAAGCAAGGGGTTGGAAAACCACCAGAGAGGACCCCGAGTGGTTGTTCCGTTGTGGCCCTCAGAACCCAGGGACTCGCGCAGAGGCCCTGCGGTGACAGGCTGGGCCTGCAGGGAGCAAGGGCCTCTCTCCAGCCCTCAGGCCTGGGCCTGGAAGTGTTCTGACAATGCCACAGGGCTCAGGAGAAAGGGCGGCGGGCGAGAGTAAGGAGGACTTGGGTAGACTTGAGTTTTACTTACAGAAAAGCAACAGAGCCAGAGGCCCCTGGGGACAGGGCTTCACCAGGGCCAGAAGCAGGGACGACACGAGGGGGGACAGCGCTGGGCGGCGAGGCGCGGGCGCGGGCAGGGCCCTCTGTGAAGACGGGCCTGGTGGTTAAGGTCCCACCTCCCTGGTGGGCAGGAGAGCTAGGCGGCAGGGCCCACGCCCCCCCCCGAGCCCCCCCTGCTGGGGTGGCCAGCCCAGGACAGTGGGCAGGGGTCCCAGGGAGCAGAGCTCACAGAGACCTGCGGAGCTGTCCAGTGAGCCAACCTACCTGCCCTGGCCGGGCTGGGCGGGCTGGCTGGGCCGTCACTGGGTGGCCGGGGCCGGCACACTGCTCACCGCCTTCGGGGCCTCCCCCTCTGCCTCGGCCGAGGGCTTTCCGGGCGGCTCCGTCCCCGCGACCACGGCTGCCTTCACCGGCTCTGGTGCCCCCGGTGCCCCTGGTACCCCCACCAGGGCAGAGCCCTTACGCCCCTCCTTGCCGGGGCGGTAGCTCTCTGCCCAGGGCATCTCGGCCGCATGCTTGCGGCTCAGCGGGTAGGCCCCGATGGCGGCCAGGATGCTGCGGTGGCGTTCGGGGTCCATCTCCGTGTAGTACATCTCCAGCGTCAGGGGGGTGCAGATTTTGTGCTGCAGGAAGGACGGGTCAGGGGTGGGGCTGGCGGTGGAGGCACCGTGTTGAGCAGACAGCATGGTGCGGGGAAGGGGGACGGGGAGGAGCCACCCTGCCGCCAGCTGGGTGAACCCAGGGCGAGCAGCCGTCACCAGAACCACTGCGGGCTCTGACTTTAGCAAAAACACATTAAATTCGAACCATCATTAATAAAGCTCCAATACAAAAATGGAGGAAAGTATTTGCTTAACATGCAGAAAAGGTCACTGTCCACACTACATCAAAACCCTGCAACAAGTGCAAAGGAAAGGCAGGGGGCAGGTGAAGAAAGCCGCCCAGCCGGAGGAGGCCATTCCCAGGGAGCTGCCAGAGGCCCCTGCGGACAGGGCCTGAGCCTCCTGATAAACCAAGCTTTCCTCAAAACCTGTGAAGAGACAGGACTGGGAAGAGGATCACAGCAAACCGGGTCACCGACAGGACCTCCCAGGTGGAGAGAAGCACCACCCCCCTGCGCTGGCCCAGAACCCACCGCTGGGGGGCGCTGCCCTGGGTGGCAGCGGGACCACCCGGCGGTCCTGCCCGGCCTGCGCCTCGCGGGGCCTTACCCGAAGCAGGAAGCCGTCTGGGCAGGTGAACTGGTCGTACCAGACAGCCTTATACATGATCAGCACACAGCCCATGAGAGCCATGGCAAAGGCAATCATTCTCGCGGTCGGCAGCTAGAGGGGAGAAAGGAGACGGACGCGAGTCTACCCTAGCCCAGCCTCCCGCGGCCGCGGGCCTCTCAGGGTGAAGGCTAGGCACCAGCTAGGCGCCTCTGCAGCTGCTCCACAGAGGCCTGCTCAGGGCCCCTCTGCTGGGGCACTCGGAGCCCTGGGAGCCAGTAAACTGCGGCTGGTGCTGCCCCGGCTGCTAATGGAAGGGTATTTTCGTGAGGCTTTCCTGCCCACACGGTGCCCGCGGAAGCGGGCAGCCAGGCTGGTTGGGGAGTACTGGGTGTTCCCTGGAGGGACTCACGGGAGGTGCGGTGAGACTTCCAGGGGACGCTCTCCATCAGGGAAATGGCAGGCTTAGCGCAACGTTGCTTCTAAAAATGAAAGGTGCTAGAATTCATGCACCAAAAGGGTGTGTGTGTGTGTGTGTGTGTGTGTGTGCGCATGCGTGTGTGTGTGTGTGTGTGTGTGTGCGTGTGGTGTGTGTGTGTGTGTGTGTGTGTGTGCGTGGGGCCTGAACTCAGGGCCCAGACTGTGTGTGTGTGTGTGTGTGTTCCGCGTGGGGCCTGAACTCAGGGCCCAGACAATGTCTCTGAACTCTTTTTGCTCACAGCTAGCACTCTACCACTTTGAGACACAGCTCCACTTCTGGTTTCTGGTTGTTTACTGGAGATAAGTCTCACAGACATTTCTGTCCAGGCTGGCTTTGAACCACAATCCTCAGATCTCAGCCTCCTAAGTAGTTAGGATTACAGGTGTGAGCCATGGGTACCCAGCTCAAAGTAAGTTCTGAAGCCATCATTAGTAATGCTAAAAGATTAGAAGAAGACATTTGCCATTTCTTCAGGAAAAGCCATGCTACACAGAAAGCCTCCGAGTTGCTGAAGATACCCTGCCAGAGACACAGGCTTCCCAGGAGGGCTCCGGCTGAGCCCTCACAGACAGGTGGAATGGCGCCATCCAGCGGTTCTCCCGGAGGAGACCCACGGGCCTCCAGACCACGGGCTGGGTGCACGCTCCCCAGCATGCTCCCCCGGCATGTGCTACCTTGCCACCTGTGCCCTTGGCCTTTTTTTTTTTTTGACAGTCCTGGAGCTTGAACTCAGAACCCGGGCATTGTTCCTGAGCTTTGCTTCCCCCCTAAAAAAAAAAAAAAAAAACTTCCTCAAAAAAAAAATAATATGGCTTTTTCTGTGTATGTGGTTCTGAGGAATTGAACCCAGGACTTCATGCATGCCAGGCGAGCGCTCTACCACTGAGCCACCTTCCCAGCCCTGCCCTGACTCCTTACAGATGAGTGTGGTTACCTTGCGTCCCTCCTCTGGGTGGCTGCAGGCCAGCTTCTGACCCTCCAAGTCTGCGAACTTCTTTGACTGGTCTGGAGAGGACAGCTGGTATTCTGTCTGTGTCTTGATGACCGCCTGAGGAAAGGTTGACCAGGCCTTGCCAGGCATCAGGCAAAACCCAGGAGAGCCCTGAGCTGGGAGTGGGGAGCTCGGGGCCATGCCCCGAGACAATCGGTGGGATCATCACGGAGCTCCTGTGGCTACAACTGCAGCTAAGAGGAGGCGGGTTTGCAAGCGCGGCGGAGGCCACGGCACCGGGAGGCCGTGGCTGCCTTCAGTCGGAGACAGTGGCCTCCTTGTCAGCAGCTCACAACCTGACTTCTCCAGGAGTCTGTCCTGTCTGCCGGACGCATAGGCATGGGTGTGCTGTGTCTGCTCCCCAGAGGAAAAGGCTAGACCTGCCCAGTGTCCACGGTTGTAGTAAAAGCACCTGAAGCCCACCAGACTTCCTTCCCCAGCCGGCAGCTGGCCATGCGTGGGAGTCGCTCCCCAACAGTGGCACAGCTCACGCCCAGAGCTCCTGGAAGACTGGCCTGCACTGGCCTGGAGAGCAGTTCCTGTCTCTCATCAGTTTCTGCTGTAGGCCTGCTCTCTGCTGGTCATCCCAGGAACTCCATCTCAGGCCCTGACCAGAGCTCTGCCCAGCAGAGGAAGTGTGGGAACAGGGCCTGCTAGCCACACCCGACTGCTTCCTGGGCTGAGGCCTCCTGGGACTGTGTGCTGTTTCGGACGGTGGGAGGAGCTTTGGATGGGAGACTCCTGACCAGGAGGTCGGCCTCCACTTGGGTCAGCTGGAGTTTCTACACAGCTTGGCCCTGGCCAAGATGGCCGGGGCCACAGGTACACAAATCTCACTCACAAGCTGAAGAGGGTCCCCTGGGCACACCTGAGCCACTCACCTGGTCAGCAAATGGTGGCTGAAGCTGGCTGACGTCCAGCGGACTGATGAGAGGAACACTGTCCATGGCAGCCCCACCCTGGTCTCCAGGGTCTTTGCCTGGTTTTCCCGAGAAGCTACAGCCCAGCTTCACCATGCTTCACCAACTTGTCCTGGTCCTGAGACAGAGACAGAATCACCGCTAACAGGCAATGCTGTGGACAACCACACAGGCTGAGTGAGGACCCCAGGCTGGTTCTGACGCTGCCCACACCAGAGCCAGCCAGGGCTCCTCAGCAGCGCAGGACAGTGCTTGTTGTTAGACGCGCAAAGGAGAGCCGTTCCACTAACAGGAAAGGAGTCAGATAGCAGTCAGGTGTGTTGGGCTGCCAGATTCAGCAAATAAAATACCAGAGGCCCAGATAAACTTGAATTTCAGTTAGCTAATTAGCACTTTCTCCCATGCCGTATGCAATGTGGGACCTACCCACACCAAAAGCCATTCGAACGGGAAAGTAAAACAGGCTCCTTGTGGGGTGGGTCCACAGGAGGGGGGTGAATAAAGATAAATACACTTACATCTGTGAAAACAGAAACACACACACACACAAGCAAGCAGAACCATGAAACTTGTTGAAAGTGTTTTAAGAGGCAAAGTGGAGCATGGCAGAGGAGGAGGCTGATCGGGATGCACTGTATGGTGAGTGAAAATGCTACTACAACCGCCCTAGGCTAATTAACGTCAATAGGATGCCACTTGTTCTCTTTTGATATTCAAATGCAGCCAGAGGAGCAGAAAGGGAATGAGAACTACTTGGTCGGGCATCCAGGTCAACCCAAGCCCTCACCGGGCAAGAAGAACCAGGCCCCTAAAGCTGACGACCCCTAGGAAGAGCTTTCAGGATGGCGCCCCCATGTGCCTGGAGGAAGGCGGCGCAGGCCCCACGGTGGTAAGCCAAGGCTTGCTTTCACCTCAAGGATCACCTCTGAGAGAAAAGGTGAAAATGGTCTCCAAGCTGATGGACGGATAAAGTAGAAAATAAAGAACATCCAACCAAAAGAAAGACCCTGGGTCAGTTAAGAAACTGAACTTTTGCCGGGCACTGGTGGTCACACCTGTCATCCTAGCTACTCGAGAGGCTGAGATCTGAGGATCAAGGTTCAAAGCCAGCCCGGTCAGGAAAGTCTGGGAGACTCTTATTGCCAATAAACTACCAAAAGAAAGCCAAAAGTGGAGCCGTGGCTCAAGTGGTGGAGCCCTAGCTTGAGCAACAGAAACTCAGAGAGGGAGTGAGGAGGGAGAATGTAGTTGTGGAGATGGGAGGGAAGGGAGGGTAGGGGAAAACAAAGGAGGAGGCAACAATGCTTGATAAGAAATGTACTCATTCCCTTGCTCATGTGATTGTAACCCCTCTGTACAGTACTTTTACAATTAAAAAAACTTATTAAAATATATAAAAGAAGCTTAGAGACAGCACCCAGGCTCTGAGTTCAGGCCTCAGGACTGGCACAATAAAGAAGAAAAAGAAATTGAACTCGTCATTAAAACCCTCTCACAAAGAACTTCAAAGACAGGCAACCTCACTCTGAAGGAGGAAATGCTGTAAACATGATAGGAAACTCAGAGAAAGAATGAGAGATCCATCACCTGCTCACCACCCCACAGCCCAGGACACAGGGGAGAGGAAGTCAAGGGTCCATCTGGGCCCAGATGAAAGTCCAGCAAACGTAAAAAGGATAGAATGGGAGGTTGGGTATGTTCTGAACACACAATGTGGTTTAACACTTGAAAAGCAATCAATATTTTACCATTGACAGAATAAAGAAATCACCTGCTCAATCTCAATAGACATGGAAAGGTATATGGCAAGAGACAATGTTACTTTACTGGCTTAAGAACCTATTTGCATGTTAAGAGCAAAACAGTTCCTTGATCTGAAGCTGGCCACAGAGACACAGTAGTCACACTTACTGTTCTGGGTCTTTTGACTTTGAGACCAGGAAGGAGGTGCAAATGTCCTTGACCAGTTCTAGAAAACAGTCTCTCCAGTGTAGCTGGGCAGAGAGCTGAGGCTGGGACAAGAGTAAGCAATGCCGGGGCTGGGGAGGTGGCTCAGTGGCAGAGCGCTTGCCTTGCATGCCTGAGGCCCTGGGTTCGATTCCTCAGCACCACATAAGCAAAAAGAAAAAAGCCGGAAGTGGCGCTGTGGCTCAAGTGGTAGAGCGCTAGCCTTGAGCTGAAGAGCTGAGGGACAGTGCCCAGGCCCAGAGTTCAGGCCACACGACTGGACCCAAAAAATAAGATTAAGCAATGCTGCCAATATTCTTGGATGAGTCTGCTCTTATGTAGGAAATACAAAGACTCCTACAGAAACATTATAAGGACAGAGAGCAAGACCCGTGAGGCCACTGAGAAAAAGACTCTCAGAAAGCAGTGGTGTTCCTATACGTTGGACATATACGTATATAATATTTGATTTCTTTTTTCTTACCATATTTTAAACTTTTTTACTTAATCAAATATTTCTTTACTGCTATTTAAAGGTGATATACAGAGTGGTTACAGTTTTGAACCTAAATCCTCAGATCTCAGCCTCCTGAGTAACTAGGGTTATAGCATCTGGCTTCCAACTTTTTCTTTTCTAAATAAACTTCACAAGCACTGAACTTTTATGTGGAGTAGAGGGACAGGAACACAGAAGAGATCCACCTGCCCTGTTCTGTTGTCTGTCTGCCTGTAGAAGCCGTGGAAGGTGGTGCGGAGACTCGGCAGAGAAGGCGCCGGCTCACGCCCTCCACTTCCCAAGACAGATGTCACCGCAAGCTGGAGGATGGATGGATGGTGAGCCAGTGTCCACCCCAGGCTGGCACCGCCTCCCGCCACACACACTGTGGAACCTGCGCCAGGGGCATAAACATGGAAAATCAAGACAGCAGAGCAACTCAGAATATCTTTCTTTCTTTCTTTCTTTCTTTTCCAGGGCTGAGGACTGAACCCAGGGCCTTGCACGCAGCGGGCGGGCGCCTTTCCACTGGGCTAAACCCCTAGGTCCTCTCAGAATATCTTTCTGACCGCAGGTGGAGCAAGACAATGAAATATTACTGATAAAAGGAAATATTGATTAAATGACAACTCTGAAATGAAGAACTGTGCTTACCCAAACACAGTCTTCAACGTGTGTAAATAAAAACCACCTCTGAGCCAGGCACCTATGGCTCACATATAATCCTAACTACTCAGGAAGCTGAGCTCTGAGGTTCATGGTTCAAAGCCAGCCCAGGCAAGAAAGACTGTAAGACTCTTATCTCCAACTAACCAGCGAAAAAAAAAAAAAAAGTAGAGCTGTGGCTCAAGTGAGAGTCCTAGCCTTGAGTAAAAAAGCTCAGGGACAGGGACGGGGCCCAGGCCTTGAGTTCAAGCCTCAGGACTGGTATGCGCGCGTGCACACAGTAATGCACAAGTGGCAAAAAGCTGCTGTGGGTTGAATAGCATCCTAGTTGGAACTAGAGGTTCTACCCAGTTGTAACCCCTAGTTCCTGCAAGAAAAACCTACTGAATACCATCTGTGCAGATGCCATCAAGTTACAGTGAGGTCCTATTGGATTGGGATGGGCCCTAATCCAATGCCGGTGTCCTTGTAAGAAGAGCCAGCTGGGGCTGGGAAGGTGGCTCAGTGGCAGAGTGCTTGCCTAGCAAGCATGAAGCCCTGGGTTTGGCTTCTCAGTACCACATACACAGAAAAAGTGCTGGCCTTGAGCAAGCGAAGCTCGGGAACAGTGCCCAGGTCCTGAGTTCAGGCCCCAGGACTGAAAAGGAGAGGGGGGGGAGGAGGGGGGAGGAGGGGGAGTTTTATAT